CCCCCCCCCCCCTTCACCTGCTGGGTCATTTTCCTTTGGTCCTTCATCCCTGGGTGTCTCCAGAAGCTCAGACTGCAGATAATTTGCTCTTGATTTAAGTCAGCTTCTTTGTAGAATCACTTACTCATAGCTTTATCTGTCACCTTGATGTTCAAGTGTCAGAAGTCCAGTCCCTCCTGACTTGGTCCCTGGGTGGCCCACCCTCCCTTCAGTTGACTGGGACAGGTCTCATCCATTCCCATCCCCCTCCGCAGAGCTGGCCCCAGAGCCTTGGCCTCGCTGTGGCCCAGAACCTTTTCTAGCTGCCACAGGGTCTTGAACTTGCCCCCCACGCCGGTCCCAGGGGCTCTGGCAGTTGCAGAGAGTGTCGGGATGTTGGGAGGCCCTCCCCCCACCTCAGTCCCTCTTGTGCTGGGGGCGTTCGAGCCGCCTGCCTTCCTGGGATTGATGGAGAAAGGGCCCTGTGCACACACGGATGCTTGCGGATGCTGGGCTGATCTGAAAGGGTGCTGGGAAGGAGGGAAGCATTAGTGAGAGCTGAAGAGCAAAGGGCCTTGAGTGCCGGGCACAGCCACTGAGGCCTGACCCACCAGGGGGTGGTTCACCTGCAGGGACTCCCCTGCAGGGATCCTCCCCAGCTTCGAGGGCAGATGGCCTGTGGTGGTGGCGGAGGCCAGGAGCAAGAGGAACCCCACCCAGGATGTGGTGACTGTTGTCTGGAGGCAGGGAGGGAGCACACTGGGATGAACCCACATGTGCACTTGGGCATGACCAGGAGGCAGGTCAAGTTCTGTGTCAGAAACCCAGAGGCCAGGAGGTGTGTGGGGGAGGACCGACATCCTGAGTAGAGAGAAACACTCCAGAGGCAGGGTGGGTCTATCCTGTCCCTGCCCGATTCCCAGTGCCTGGGACACAGTAGGTGCGTAATAAACCCGTGGACCAAACGCACCAGTTTGATCCAAGTCAGAGCTGGCTGCGGGTCCTCCCATGCCTGGCAGCCTGTGTAAGTGGATGAGTTTCCCAAGGGGTAGAATTGAAGCGAAGAGAGGCCAAGGGCTGAGTGTCCGGGGAAAGAGTTTGCAGTTAGGGGTGCAGTGGAGGGCAGAAGGTGTACGGTCAGCCGAGGTCAGGGGGGCTCCCGGGAGATGGTGTTTACGTGGGCACAGGGTGGCTAGTGCCCTCACTGTGAGTGGCCCAGAGAGGTACAGGAGGGCTTGTAGGGCTCCGCTTTGCTCAAGTTTGGGCTTTCCCCTGCACCGCTGCGCAATGCAACTATTGCTGCCGAGACCCCCTCTGCTCTGCTCCCCACAGGAACATCATTCCCCACTTTTCTTTAGGGTCGCTGCTGCATGGCGTGCAGTGCACTGTCTACATGCTGCATGCATCCACCAGCCACGCCCCCCCTCCCCCGCCCCCGCCCCTACCTCCTGGGACGACCACCACCTGGGAAGCCAAGCCCTCGTCCCACCTGGCATGGGCCACCCTCCTGAGACGTCCATGCCGACCGGAGTCCTTGTCCCCTGCCCTCCTTTGCCCCCCTTTGCCCTGTGAACCACCTGAGCACAGGTGTCCTCATCCCTTGGAGCCCTCATGAGGTCATGTTGGCCAGAGCAGCTGCAGCCGCTTTGTCCTGATATTTTACAGCCGAGACTGTGTTGTCCGCCCACCTCCTGGCCCAGAGTGAGGTGTCCCAGGGAGCGGGGAGGAAGTCAGAGCTCCTTCTTCACTGCCCTTCATAAAACCCTTGTCTGGAAATTAACGGACGAGAGAATCTAGGGAGCCTTGGCCGATGACACCTTGAGGAAACCTCAGGAATATTAACTTGAAACATCACAGCTGTCTCATTAAGAATGTGGGATGGCAAATTCCTTAACCTTAAGTGGCCGAGCTGGTTTAACAAGATGTTTCTCTTTGTGGTGGAATTTTCACTTTTCCCCTTTTAAAGTTATTCAGATAAAGCTGTGAGGGTGGTACAGAGTTTTGATTTTTTTAAGTTGATAATGAGTAATTTTAGGATAGATGCTTATGAAGTCTGTAAATAATCATTTGAAAAACCCTTACCTAGTGCCATGCTCATATCTTCTTTATAAATATTTGTGTAGCTGGACTCATCTGTCTGCCACGGAGGGGCTGAATGGGTCCCTAGGGCATGACAGTGGCTCAGAGTGGGTGGATGCCCATATTGTCTCTCTGACGTTTTCTGCTCAGAAAGAGAAGATTGATTTTAGTCTGTGATCCTAGCACCCAAGGTGGGGGAGATTGTGGAGTTAGTCCTCCTGCAGGCTCATCAGCAGAATATAAGCCTCAGCTCTGCTCAGTTTGGTCCCAGCCTTCCCTGGTGGTTCAGTGGTTGCTACTGCTGCTAAGTCACTTCAGTCGTGTCTGAATGTGTGCGACCCCATAGACGGCAGCCCACCAGGCTCCGCCGTCCCTGGGATTCTCCAAGCAAGAACATCAGAGTGGGTTGCCATTTCCTTCTCCAATGCATGAAAGTGAAAAGTGAAAGTGAAGTTGCTCAGTCGTGTCTGACTCTGTGCGACCCCATAGACGGCAGCCCACAAGGCTCCTCCGTCCATGGAGTTTTCCAGGCAAGAGTACTGGAGTGGGTTGCCATTGCCTTCTCTGGGTCCAGTGGTTAAGACTCCGCAATTCTAAGGAAGGGATCAGCAAGTTTGATCCCTGATCGGAAAACTAAGATTCCACTATGCTGCTCAGCTTGGTCACATCATGAGGACTTAAGAGGGGGGTGGTTTCAGTTACATGATGGCTTTTAAGACTAAAAGCCCTTTTTTTTTTTAAACACCTATCAGAGTGTCAAGATGTTTAAATCTGAATCCATGGAGGGTTCGTAGCGTGATCTCTGTATCCTGTTGGTGGGCGTGTGAGCCAGAAAAACCACTTCGGAGAGGGATTTTGAAGGAGCCTGGTAGAGAAGAGCAGCTTCCCTCCAAGATGAAATGTGTTCTTAGAGATGCTCGAGGGTGTGTATCCTGGGAGAGACGTGCACAAGAACGGGGTGAACGCCTGGGGAGGACGTAGAGGTCATTGGAGGAGAATGGCATTGTCCAGGGAGTTCTAGAAGGCAGGCCACGCATGCAGATGGACCTCACAGACACAGCAGAGAGCAGGAGGGGCCAGCTGAGGGGCTTGCATAGCATGATCCTATTTTTATATGGAATTGAATACGCAAAGCCATACTTTACGTTGTTCGTGGTACCATGAAAAGCTAGTGAACATAGAAAGATTTTTTGGGGAAAGATAAATGCCAAATTCTGGAGATGTGATTTTTTTTTGGTGGGGGGTGGCGAGGAAAATGGTATTGAAGTGGGTTCAATGGGTTTAACCAACTATAATATCCTTTTATTAGTAACAAATATGGCAGAATGTTAAAATTTGATGATGCTGAGTATAGGTACATAGGAATTTGTGCTCTCCTGGATGATTGAAATATATCATTATTAAAAAATAACATATACTAGCTATCTGAACATATATGAACAGGCTTTAGTAATTATTGTACTTATAACCTAAAGTTTTTAAGATCAGGGTATTTTATGTGGGGCCCTTTATAGCTTTGTCCTGCTCTTTATGGAATCCTAAAATTATAGTGGCTTTAATTGTACTTGTTGAAGAAGTTTATGTTCTCTTATGTTAAATATTGGGAAATTGGTGAAACTTTTTAGGTCTCTGTACATTTTAAGAAAGTTTTAAGGTCACTGCAATGATGTAAAGTAATTAGCCCCCAACTAATAAAAATAAATGGGAAAAAAAAAAGTTTTAAGGTGTATTTTCTTTCTTTTTTTCTCTAAGATGTATTTTCTCCTTTGAAGTATGCCTTTTTTTCTTTTTAAATTAGGAGATTTATCCTTTTTATTTTATTTTGTTTATTTGTCTGCATCAGGTCTTAGTTGTGGTACACAGGCTTAGTTCCCAGCCAGGGATCTCCTGTATTGAAAGGCGGATTCTTTTTTTTTTTCCATTTATTTTTATTAGTTGGAGGCTAATTACTTTACAACATTGCAGTGGTTTTTGTCATACATTGAAATGAATTAGCCATGGATTTACATGTATTCCCCATCCCGGTCCCCCCTCCCACCTCCCTCTCCACCCGATCCCTCTGGGTCTTCCCAGTGCACCAGGCCCGAGCACTTGTCTCATGCACCCAACCTGGGCTGGTGATCTGTTTCACCCTAGATAATATACATGTTTCAATGCTGTTCTCTTGAAACATCCCACCCTCGCCTTCTCCCAGAGTCCACAAGTCTGTTCTATACATCTGAGTCTCTTTTTCTGTTTTGCATATAGGGTTATCGTTACCATCTTTCTAAATTCCATATATATGTGTTAGTATACTGTAATGGTCTTTATCTTTCTGGCTTACTTCACTCTGTATAATGGGCTCCAGTTTCATCCATCTCATTAGAACTGATTCAAATGAATTCTTTTTAATGGCTGAGTAATATTCCATGGTGTATATGTACCACAGCTTCCTCATCCATTCGTCTGCTGATGGGCATCTAGGTTGCTTCCATGTCCTGGCTATTATAAACAGTGCTGCGATGAACATTGGGGTGCACGTGTCTCTTTCAGATCTGGTTTCCTTGGTGTGTATGCCCAGAAGTGGGATTGCTGGGTCATATGGCAGTTCTATTTCCAGCTTTTTAAGAAATCTCCACACTGTTTTCCATAGTGGCTGTACTAGTTTGCATTCCCACCAACAGTGTAAGAGGGTTCCCTTTTCTCCACACCCTCTCCAGCATTTATTGCTTGTAGACTTTTGGATAGCAGCCATCCTGACTGGCGTGTAATGGTACCTCATTGTGGTTTTGATTTGCATTTCTCTGATAATGAGTGATGTTAAGCATCTTTTCATGTGTTTTTTTGGAAAGGCGGATTCTTAACCACTGGACCACCAGGGAAGTCCCTATGCCTCTTTTTTTTTTTTTTAAAGGTATGTTTTGTTTTATTTATTCATTTTTAAAAGTATGATGTGTTTATTTGGCTGTTCTGAATCTTAGTTGCAGTTTGTGGAATCTAGTTCACTGACTAGGGATTGAACCTGGGCCCCCTGTAATGGGAGTGTGGAGTCTTAGCCACTGGACCACCAGGGAAGTCCCTGGATTATGTCTTTTGATAGAAAAATAGGTCCTTGCCTCTGTTTCAGTATACTAACAGTGAATTTTCTAGAAAAACAAGGACAGGAGAATGGAACAGAAGAGACCTGTGATGTCCACACCCCCTTATGTATAGCCCCTAGGATACTTGGGATCCTTGACAAAGTACACTGATACCTACTATTATCCAGGCCATGGATCTGGGATGGTTACATATTGTCTCTGCCACTAGAGATGCTTCTCAGGATGAGATTCTGGCTTAATTGAATTAGCCTCCTTGCAGTCAGGATGCGAGTGAGATGGTGCATTCCTGTCATGCCAGTTGCGGGGGATGCTATTAAAGCCGGCCGTTGATGGAATAATATCCTTTACTCACTCGCCATCTCTCTCAGGAAACAGGAGCTTAATATGCCCCATTCAGTTAATCCCGACAACATCCTTAGAAAGGTGAGTGGAAGGCAGGTAGAGTGGTGCTGGTGGCCTCCCCAGCCCCAGCCCGGGGTGTGGTGGGCCCTTCCCACCTTCCTCCCTGGCGCCTGCCGCGCTCGCCCATCAGGCCCACCTGCCGCCCACCCACTGCGCAAGCGGGCAGGCGGGAGAGTGGCTCCAGGGGCTCCAGCTCCGGGGCTGCCTCGGTGGTCACAGGCTGGCTGGTGGGGCCAGTGGCGGGCTGAGCCCACGGCGCCTGCCGCCTCAGACAGTGATCCTNGGGCTGCCTCGGTGGTCACAGGCTGGCTGGTGGGGCCAGTGGCGGGCTGAGCCCACGGCGCCTGCCGCCTCAGGCAGTGATCCTAGTGACCCTCTCTACGTGGCCACCATGGTCATCACTGCCTCCACGCCTCACTCCGCCGAGGGCCGGAGGAGGACATTGCTGGAGGGACCAGTACTTCTTTGGACCCCACAGCTTTCTGCGCAGGGTGCAGTGACAGCGAGGCAGGCACCAGCTGTAGCGCGGCCCTGCTCAGCTATTGGCTGGCGCCACAGTGGGCCCCTCCCCCAAGCAAGAGACCGTTAGTGAGCAACTGTCCACCAGTGACCGTTAGTGGCCCCGCGCAGCCATTGGTTGGTGTCTCCGTGGGCCCCGCCCCCTGCCATCTCGTATATAAAAGCCCGAATTCAGACCGGGGGAGATGGTTTGTTGACACGATAGTCTGCCGTGTTGTCTACTAGCTTTCAAGTTGTTATTCCTTGTTCCAGCAACTCATTTCCCGATTTATTGACCTGTAGCGCCGTGATCAGAGCGAGCTTGGGCTTGGTAACGTTTTTATCTCCTTTTTACTCAAAAAGCAACTGAAATGTCCCTGGGCACCCCCAGCCTTCCCTCAGAGCTCTGGTCAGGGTCAAGGTTAAATAACTCAGGGAGGAGGAAGGAAGGAAGCACTCTGGACGCATGGACTCCAAGCCCAGCCCTGTGGCCAGCCCTGTTAGCCCTGTTGGGAAGTCTCAGGGTCACGATCTCTTTGGATCTTGAGGACAGTCCTTCCAGGCCGTCCACGAGTCTTCCTGGCTTCTCCTTGGGATGTCCAGTTTCTGGCCTGAGTCCCCAGGCTGGTCAGTGACAGACTTGGCTGGGTTTTGCCAGACTCTGGATTCCCACCTGGTCACCACCAGGCCCTATGTCCAGCCTGGGGGGAGAGGGTAGGGGGGTGGGGAGGGGATCCATTGGATTACTTCAACAAGCTTGAAGCAAAGTTGGCAGGTTCCCTTCTGGTGGTGGTGTCATGCGGTTAAGACTGTTGAACACAGCTTCACCTGAAGGAAGTAACTTGGGATCGTGAAGCAGAGGGTTCAGGGTGTCTCCCCTCCCACTTCTCCATCCTGAGCAGGGCTGGCAACCCCCGAGTGTCAAGAAGGGATGCGGCTCACGTGGCATCTGTTGATAAGACTTTATTCCGCTGCTCAAACCACATGCAGGTGCGAGACCACCATAATCTTGAAAGATCCTGGTTAGAAATTGTAGGAGGCAGGAAGAGGAAGCTAGGTTGACAGGGCCCTCTGGTCTTTGTTGCTGTGTCTCGTGTCCTAGCCAGGCCTTGAAGCCCGGCTGTTTCACAGGTGGGGAAGGGGCAGTTGTTATTCAGCCCTGGAGCTGGGGTCCACACCCAGACCTCTTCGATCCTCTCAGGGATGATAACCTGGCAGCCATGCCTTTGGCCAGCTGATTTGTTGTTGTTTTAGAAAATGTTGCTACTCATTCATGAGACATGAGGATGAAAGCTTCAGTTTTAGCTGAGTTTGGATCAGACAAGGATTGCTCTTATTATAAGCAGGGCTTTTTATTAACTGAAAACACTTGGCTCTTAAGATGCGGTGTTTAATTGCTGTTGAATGTATTTTTGTCACACCACCCTGTGATAAGCCAGAGAATGGTTTGTGCCCAACACAGCAGGAAAGCAAAGGGAGGAATGACAACCTTGTGCTCTTCAGGCCCCTTTGGAGCCTGTGGTCTCGTGTTTGCTGTGTCAGGTTTAGTTTCTGTTTCCTGCACCTGGTCTGAGGCTGATCAGGACCAATGGCGGGAGAGACCATCCCTGGGGTGCTCAGATGTGTTGCTCTCCCGGCCTGGGCCAGAGCTCATCTCTTCCTGGTCTTTCATCCTAGGTTGTGTAGGCCTCATGTCCTAGCACTGACAGAGGAAAATCAGCTATTGAACCTGGCCTTGTGGTTTTTTTTGGGGGGGAGGGGTTTGTTTGTTTTTTGCAAAGTGGAAATGATTTTGTGCTTTGAAAAAGTAAGAAATGCTAGTAAAAATAAGAAACTATAAAAACATAGGATGAAGGAAATAAAAAGTCACCCCTCATCCTGTTCCTGTTCACATTCTTGTGTAAGGCCTTCCAGACACTTCCCTGGCTATGGACTTAGGACACCAGCTGATGGAAGAACACTTTGGATACCGTTTGCTAACAAATCTCTCAGCAGCCTGGAGTTTGCTGTGCTACTAAGTATATCTCCCAATGTTCATTTAGAAAGATTAACATGCCATTTGTTGAAATTACTCATTACATAATATTTCGCTGATTTCCCGTCTTTCATTAAATTGTTCTCTTTTTCAACTTTGTACTACTACACAAAAAAGTCAGACACGACTTAGTGACTAAACAACGACAACAAAGACTATGTTTGGATGAACATCCTTATGCATCTATGCATCTTTTAAAATTACTTTTAATGTCTGATTATTTCCTCAGGTTAAATTTCCAGAAGCAGAAGTGCTGAGTGAACAGTGTGTGTATATTTTTAAGACTTTGAGTACTTATTACCCAAACTTCCCAGAAACATTGGACCACTTTATAGCAGCAGTTGCACTAAATTCCTTGTATTACTTTTTTTTTTTTTTTTTTTGAGTAACAGCTCATGGTTCCCCCTGCAAAAAAAAAAAAAAAAAAAGACATAAAAAGAAGTCTCCTACCTGCCCTGCAACTGCTCCTCTCCCATTGTTGATTTCTTTGTTTATCTTCCTGAATTTCTTTATACACAGAAACAAATACAAGTATGTTATTTTCTCCTTATCTACACATAGTCTGGCATGCTGTGCATACTTTTCTTCACTTTGCTTTTTAATTTTTAAAAATGATTGGTGTTCCTTAGACTTTCCAAATCAGGACATGAAAGCTGAAAATTCTGTTTTCTTTTTTAAGCAATTTTATTTCTTTAGTTTTGGCTGTGATGGGTCTTTGTTGCTATGCAGGCTTTTCTCTAGTTGAGGTGAGCGAGAGCTACTCTCTAGTTGCCGTGCACTGGCTTCTCACTGCAGTGGCTTCTCTCATTGCGGAGCATGGGCTCTAGAGTGTGCGGGCTCAGTGCTTGGGACTCACGGGCTTAGCAGTTGTGGTTCACGGGCTTAGTTGCCCCGCGGCATGTGGGATCCTCCTGGATCAGGGATCAAACCTGTGTCTCCTGCATTGGCAGGCAGATTCTTTTACCACTGAGCCACCAAGGAAGTCCTCTATTTCTATTTTCTGTCTCTCTCAGAGAACCATGGTATTCCCTGATAGGGATAGCTGTACCCGATGTATCAGGTTTTCCATTGAGAGATATTTGTGTTGCTTCCAGTCTGTGCCCTCACAACACCGCCGCCTTGAAGAGTGTGTCTGACACTGGTGTGCATCTGTCTCCTAGAAGATGTATAGGGTCCCTACACATGAGCATCTGTGATCAATCGGTGCTGCCACCTTCCTCTCATGGGTCCCATTAGACTCCCCCCCAGCACAGTGCTGCACTCCATGGGCCTGCCACGGAGTCCACCCTGAGTTCTAGTTCTTTCACCATCCAGTGAGCTGTGCATCGGTGAGGACCCTCCCCTCAGTACCCGAATGTGCAATCCCTCCTCCCCTCTCCCCTGAAATAACGCCACTTCCTTTTAGGGAAGGGCAGCAGCTCTCTATGAGCCACCAGGAAAGCCACGAGGCCTTCTAGAGCCTGACCTCCCACAGAGACAGCCATGGACTGCGGTGTGGCTGACTGGGGTTCAGGGTAAATGGTCTGACAATGCAGAGCCTGAAGAACTGAAATGATCACAGCTGAGACTGAAAAAGTGCAGGCAGGGCCCAGGAAGGGGAAGTGGCAGCCATGCCCCTGTGGGCCAAGCCCCACCAGTAACACAGCCAGAGGAGTCAGCAGTGAAGGTCCAGCCAGGATCTAGGTGGTCCAGACAAGCCAACCTTCACACAGCTTTGTTAAGAATAGTTTGGGTCCCAAACCAGGAAAGCAAACTGATACTTTTTAAGTCTCCAGCACTGGCAGGCAGGTTCTTTACCACTGGTGCCACCTGGGAAGCCCTAAACTGATACTTTTTAATACAACATAGTTTTAAAAAAATTTTGTGAGTAAAGAGAAAAAATGGTGAAATGGTAGCTTAAAGTTTTCAAGCAGAAGAAACTCTCTTCTTCAGTACACTGTTAGGGTTAGAAGCCTGTTTGCCTTGTGATAGGGGATCTGGGCCCTGTCTGTTCATTGTAAGTGACATAGACCTATGTGCTTAAGTATCTGGAATCTTTGGGTTTCAGGGTCTTTGCAAACTCCTCTGGGAGACAGTGTCCTGGGGCTGACTTGTGCCGTGAAGTGAGTCCAGGAGAAGTTTACAGGTGCCTGTGGGACACAGGAAGGGCACCACCTGGTAGTTTTGGGTGACCTTGACTCTATCCCTGCCCCACCCCATGTCCCTTTCTGATGGCTTTAACAGACAAATATTTTTAAATCATCTACCCTGTGCAAGAGTGAAACTGTGAAACTGTTAATCGCTCAGTTGTGTCCAACTCTTTGTGACTGCATAGACTGTAGTCCACCGGACTCCTTTGTTTGTGAGATTCCCCAGGCAAGAATACTGGACTGGGCTGCCATTTCCTTCTCCAGGGGGTCTTATCGACCCAGGGATTGAACCCAGGTCTCCTGCACTGCAGGCAGATTCTTTACCATCTGAGCCACCAGGGAAGCCCAAGAGTGGTCTCCTCTAAAAAACACTGAAATTAGGAGGGATCCTTCCCTCCCTCCTCCCTATTTTATTTCTAGGTTGGATCTGTTTAGTATAATGAAACATTCTGCTTTATTCTTCTAAATAAACACATTCCAACCATTGGCATTTCAAAATTTCTTTCTCAGGGGCCCCTTTCTAGATGAAGCTGGTCTTTTTGGATGAGGCTGGTCTTGTGTGGCCTCAGTGGTCTTCAGCTGTTTTTCTTGGGCTTGCTGCCTCCCTGAGACTCGGGCAGTGTGACCACACAGTAGGCTCGCCTGGCCCACCTGAGGGTTGGTCTGCCTATTTCTGAGACTCCGTGTGGTTCTCCTCTCCCACAACCTAGCCCTGCCAGGAGATGGAAGGGGTCTTGCCTGGTGCTTGGCAGGTTGCCTGGAGGGTCTGCTCCTGCCCAGAGGCAGCACAGCAGCTCCATGAGAGGCATCCAGGTGGGTGACTGTGGTCACCAAGCACTTGTGTCTTTGCATGGGGGAGAGGGAACTGTAGGATCATGCTCTGATCTTCCCCCACCTGTGGACATTGGTGATGGGTGGGAACAAACAGGAGTCAACTGGGACAGAAGGGAAAGGTAGCTTCGCTTGTGGATATAGTGCACACCTGGTCCAGAAAGGTCTGAGCACCTGCAGGAGGAGGCTTGCTTGAAAAAAATAAAATCAGCTAAAGGCACACAAGACTCAAAACACAGTAATATCCAGAATGCATTATATAATGTGCTCCATTGAAAGGAACACTGTGAACCAACTTAGGGAAAGGATCTTTTAAAATGGCTTTCCTAAAAATAC